CAAAAACTAAATAAAAATATTAATTATGGTGACAAAGAACACTTCTTTTCAGAATGAGACAATCTCAGCTATACATTTCTCCTCATTTTTCTCTTCTCAAAATCTTATAAATAAAACACAGCAATATCACAATTAAGCCAAGTCTTGATAATCAGCTATCACAAACAGCTATGTTACTGGCAGATGGACAAGCAGATGGAACATTTTTCATAGCCTTTTCTACTTATGGAGTCCAGCCAAACATCATTTTCCAATGTCTTCCTGAGAAATAAGACTAATTATCGCAGTCATCACTGAAAGCCCACTGAAGATCAGGAGGAAGAACATCACTATTTGTAGCTCCTTTGCCTAAACATCTTATAATAATATCTAAAATTGACAGCATGAAAGAAGTAAACAGAGGGGAAAAAAGAATAGAAACACTGGCAATTTTAACAACCTAAATGCTTATCTCCTTTCACATACAATGAAAAATAAAATATCTGTAAAGTGAAATAACTTCTATCACCCTTACATACGAAGTGTGTTAGTTTGAACTTTTAAAGTCTAGAAGTAAATGTAAGTTTGGGGATATCACTTTAAAAGCTTTATATACCTCCTTATAATTAGTTGTGAGTGCTACATATTATCCAGAAACCAGAAAGGCAGTACTGGTAGCTGACATATCATCATTCAAAGGTTCACAACTATTCTTAAATACTAGTTCAAAGAAATACCCTTAAAAACCCTCTTCACAATATCGTCTTCTTTGGAAAGAGCCATATGTATTATGTGAGACTTGAAAAGTAGCAATAAAAATCAGTGGGAGAAAAAAGACAAAGGTTTTCATCTCAGACTTGGTTCATATTCAAAGCAAAGCAATTTTACAGCAACAGAGAAACAGGAAACAGAGACGAAGGTAAGTAGGTAAAGAAGTGAAGCACAAGATGTTTAAGAACAAAAAAATTAGCGTATGTCTAACTTGTGTACTTTTTAAAGTCATCTACTACAAAAGACACTTCCACCTAATGAATTGAGTTCTATAAAATAACCAGATTTACTGAAATTTTTCAGCTTCCTTTCTTGTTTTAACATCTTTTTCCTACACAGATTCTCTCCAAGAGCAACCAAATTGCTCATTTCCCTTCACCTTCAGCCCTACCAATGAGTCTAAAATAGGCCCTGAGCACTGAATATAAAGCACATTGTGCACCTGAAGCCTCATTTTCCAGTCAGTTTCAATTAGAGATACTCACACCTTTCGGTGTCCTGAACAAGAACACTAACACATGGTATCCAAGCTGCTGCCCCACCAGCCGACTGCTTCTTCCTACCTACCCTTCTCTATGCATCCAGCATGTGAGCTGCTAAAAGCAAGAAACTGTATCTGTTCCCCAGTGCAAAATGAATACAATACGTATGTTACAGGACTAATTTGCTAGTCCATTATTCTTTATATTTCATATTCTGAATGACTGCTACAGCTAACAGGATAAACAGAGTGATTTTCTAAATCTGGCTTTATTACAATACTAAGAAAATAAACACAATGAATAATAAGAGTAATACTAACCTAGTAAAATATTCCAGTGCTTTCTCTACATAGTCCACAGCTTTCCCATCAAGATAATCGACTAGAGCTGCTTTTGCCATCATGAGATGGCATTCACCCAAACCTGAAATCAGGTAAGGTAGTTGTTAAAATATGTAAAAGGACCACTTAGAATGAACTTCAAATAAATTTACTGGTGTTATATTACATCCACTTTCCAAAAAACAAAACTTAATGATATTTTATAAAAATTATCTTTAAGCATGGTCTTGCATACATTTAGCAAGAAATTCAAATGGTGGGGTTCTGCTGGAATAAGCATGTACAAAAAGATAAAAATTATCTATGGAACCTAAGAATTTCCTTAACTTTGGGCAAATTACTTATTTCTTAAAATCTTAGTTTTGAAAATGGGGATATTACCTAATAATATCTAATATGATGCTACTTGCTATCATATTATTAATTAGCTGTTATGAAACAAGATTTGATCTCTTTATATTCAAAACTGTGCAGCAAACTATACTATAAAAACTAAATAAAATGCCATTTCTAAAGTGCCTAGTAAACATTTAATAAATGTGAATTCTCCTTCTGTGGAGGAGTTTTACAAAATTTTTTTTAAAAGGGGTTCAAGGCCTAAGTTACATGTCACAAAACATACAGTATTTCTGAATTAAACTCCAATTGTTTCTTCAAAAAGAAAAAGGAAAAGGAAATGGGGGAAAGCAAATATAATGGGCTCTAGGTTTCTTTAAATGGTTAGAAATAATCATAAAAGCTTTAATTAGATATGAATGTGGTGTTTTACTTTATACTACCAAAAATAATTTGTTAAGAAGGAACAAGTATCTATAAAGGAAATACAATTAATTTAGATAATTACAAAACAATGCAATCTGCCTCTAAAGTTCAAAAATTGAGAATCTGAGCTTCTATAATTTACAAAGTAACTAAAAAGTATTAAGGTATTCTGAGGATATAGTGAATTAATTATCAAAATATAAGCGCAGGGAAATTCTTGTCTTAGAGATCCATTTTTAGATCCAACAGTTATGCTATTTATTTAAAAGCTAAATCTCTATCATATCATATTTATTAACTGTTATGAAACCAAATTTGATCCTTCAATTCTCGATTCTATATAACAAGCTATATTATAAGAGGTTCATACTGGACACTTGCTGTTGACTAAAGAAGCCCTTTTCAAGTTATTTGATACATTTAAAAATTTACTCAAGGATTTTGTACTTCAGTATCACAAAAGTCAAAGGAGCTATTAAAAAGAAATTACCTTTTAAAGCAGGCACATAATCTTCTTTGTTTCTAATGATCAGCTGGTATTGAGCTACTGCTTCCTTGTATTTGCCTAGGATTTGCTGTATTGCTGCAACCTTAAACACACTGTATGTGGATTCTGGGTTCAGCTCACTGGCTTTTGTGAAGGATTTCAAGGCCGTTGTATAGCCACCTCTGCTTAAGTATGCCTCTCCTAGTGACTCCCAACAATTGAAGTCCTTTGGGTCTGCCCTTAATGCTGCCTGTAAACTAAAATTTCAAGAAAGAGTAAGAGAATTAAAAGTAGTTGAACAACTTCCACGTATGAAAGAAAAATAGAAAATAATTTAACTGAATCATACATATCCATGGTTCTTCCTAAGGATAAAAGTGATATTTTTTTAATTATAAGACGTTAATTTATTTTATTTTTCATTCCTTAGTGGAGGTACTGGGGATTGAACCCAGGACCTTGTGCATGATAAGCACATGCTCTACCACTGAACTATCCTCCCCTTTATTTTATTTTTCTTAAATTTTAGTATAGTCAGTTTACAATGTTATGTCAATTTCTAGTGTACAGTATAATGTTTCAGTCATATATATACATAAATATATTCGTTTTCATATTCTTTTTCATTATAGGTTACTTACTACAAGATACTTAATATAGTTCCCTGTGTAAAAGTGCTATTTAAAGTAAGTATACCTATTGTTTTTATGATGTGTATTTCTTTAATACTAGGAAATTTTATTGTAATTTTGGAATGAGTAAGAACAAATTACTTTTTTGAAGAAATGTTCACCAAAATTTATTTCCTTGACTATGTGGGAGAGCTTCAGTTTCCTATCCTACCAGAAGAGGTATCTTTCTCAGTATGCGTCACCAGCCTATAAACCCCCACCAAGCCTCCTAACAAAACAAAAACATAAGAGTAGAAAAATAGGAATAACAGGCATATTTTAAGTTTCCGATCAAATTCCATATACATGAAAAAGTTTTAAATGCCTGTATTCCAGATGATAACGTAAATCAGAAACAACTTTGATTCAAATATATTTTCTTCACCCTTAAGTACAGTTCAAACCAAATTACTAAAAATGAACTGCTCCAAATGTCCTTCAAGCTGCCAACATCTCCTCTGTCCCAAACAATGCTCATCAGTGGGAGAACAACAAAGATATCAACATTGGCTTTTTACCCTTCCTCGAATTTCTATTAAGAACCCTATATGATATTATCAAGATGTCACATCACTGGACGTACACCTCCTCAACAAGAGGACTTCAGTTAATTCAATGTCCAGCAATTCCAGTGCCTTGCAGATAATAAGAACCAATCAACCATAAATAAATTTTTCTATTTCTTCCCTCAAAATACCACCTGGTACAAGGCAACTTGTAAGTCATTTGGGTATAAATGGAGTTTAATTTAAGGAACCCTTCGGCTGTCTAACAGAGTTTAAACATAGTAAGGCGCCTTACTCAGCCACGGCTTGAGAATGTTGACCAGCTTTCAAATAGTACAGTCCTCGCCTAAGCCAGGCCCATTTGGCCGTTCCAGCACTTGCCTTCTGAGTGACGGCTGTTAAGACAGCTAAAGCAGTTTCCTAACAATAACAGAAGACTAATATTAGCGATGTTAAATATTATAAAACTACTGAACACGTATGTAAAGTACACAAATATATTTTCATTTTCCACTCCTGATTTTTTTAAACTTATACACTGGTATAAACTGAACCAGTTTAACATTAAGTAATATGATTTCTGCCAATAAAAACAAAATTCATTCTATTTATAAACAGTGGCAAAAATATTTCTATCGCATCTACAAATAAAAATAATAACTTCAAGTATACATGTATAAAGTATTTCTATTTCTATACTCAGGGTAAAAAAAAGACAAAAGTGTTTAAATTATTAGACATACCATCTCTTCAAGCTCCACACTTAAGTCAACTGCTGCAGCTCCAGATTCAGCATCACTGTCATCTAACTCAAAAGCTTTCCTGTAACATCCACGGGCTCTGTTTTTATCTCCTACTACATCTCGGTAATAATGACCTAAATAGCAGAAAACTTTGCCCATGTATGGATCCAGTTTGGCAGCCTTTGCAATAAAAATTAATAACAGAATTTTAGTTTGTTTAAATGAGTCCCTTTAAAAACACAGAATATATATTTACAGACAAAAGAAAAAAATTAAATATACAAAATATGCTAGAATAGACTTTACGTAAGGCCGATTTAAGACATGAAAGCTGGTCATCATTGCTCACAGAAAACAAACAAATGTAAAAATGCTATTTCTCTGTTAAAACAAATGTGAAATTTAGAGTTATTATTACATTAATCTGAGTCAAGGTAAGAATGTAAAGCTTCTAGATGTTACACATGTAAATATAAGAAGTTAAACACATAGAAGTTTATAAGACTCATACACTGATAAAAGTACAGTGGAAATTACCTAAAAACAGTATTATTTTCCAGAGACAATTATGTCTTCTGTTCTATAACATGTGTTTCTTAAATAAGTTAACTTTTATATTTTTACGGTTCAGTTTTCTCCTTGAACACCCATATAACATTCTCACAAAACCTTACATGTGAGATGAAACACAAAACACAATTCTGTAAAGTATAATTTTAAGTACCTAACTTACATGAATATTATTTATAATTTTGTAATGAATCCATTTCAACTAAGAATTGAATAGTAGCAGGTGTTACCTTTAGAAAGTGGGTAAGAGTCTTTGTTTTATCTTTTCTTGTTTCTTCACCCATGGACCAATATGTTAATCCAAGTTGGTAATGATATTCAGCAACTTCAGCATCTTTCTCAAGAGCTCTCTGAAAA